ATGTGGGCAGCCCTCGTACCCAGCATTGGAGAAGTTTCAGCTAAACCCACCAGCAGGAGGGTGGGGTAGGTGACCGAAGCTAGGGACGTGGGAGTGTGAACACATCTGGAGTCTCTCAAGGCAAGACCTCATTTCCTCTTCCCCTTAAGAGGAAATGTCTAAACATTGACGGGGAGGCACCCTGCCCTGGGCTCTAGGACGGACTTGGCAGGCACCCTCTGCCCCACAGAAGGGCGCACAAAGATCCCCAGGGCTCTGAGGAGTCGTGTGCAGAAGCCCAGCCCGGAAGGGGGCCCCTCCCCATGGCCCTCAGAGCCGGTGAACAGGAGGGGAAGTTGGGCCCCGCAGAGGGACCAGGATAGCCCAGCCAGGGCCCTTGCCCAGGTCTCTGGAGAGCGGGTCAGTACTGCACCCGGAGGCCAGGACTCGAGATGAGGAGAAGTCAGGTCTGGCTGATGGGACGACAGGAGGAGGGTCACAGGGCGGGGGTCCCAGGTGCACAGAGCACACTGCCACAGGCTGTCACACAGTCTGTAGCAACCTGCGTTTGGGCAGCCAGGCTCCCAGCTGTTATATAGCAGAGTCACAGCCTCTCGGAATCAGAAACATTGCATTGTCCGGACTCTTCAAAGACTCATCTCAGACTCCAGCCAGACCCGGAGGCTCCAGAATGGGAGTGAGCCAGGCTGGTCAGACTCCCAGAAGTGAGGGTGGGGACAAGAGGGACCCTGGAGATAGCTGTCCTACACCCGAAGTAAGCAGGAGGCAACGTGGGGTGACCGAGACACCCGAGGCTCCTGTTCACGGATTTAAACTTCCTTTCCAGGGTGAAACATGACATCCACTCTCCAAAGTGCACAAAGCTAACCATGCACCACCCAGGGGAGCAGTGTCAGGCAGCAGCCCCAGGCAAAGCCTGTCCCTCCTCCTCCAGAGGGAGCCCCCAAGCTCTGCCTTTCTCTGCATTTTACCAGAGTGCCCCCCCTTCCAGTGTGGCCTCCTTTTGAACCTTACACAGGTAAGATTAAGTAGTAAGCACTCTGTTACGCAGCCTGTCTTTCAAAGCTTTGTGAGTTCCAACAGTGCTTCTGAGGGAGGCATCGTCTGTTTTATGTGGTGCAGGACTCTGCAGTGTGAACTTCCCTTGGAGGATCGCCCCTGCTGCAGGGCGTACCCAGCTGCTGCTTGCAGGGTGGGGCTGGCTGCTCCTGGGCGAGTTGCTCGTCCGGCCACACCTTTCTGTTCAGCAGAACAAAGCCATGTTTTGCTGGCTACAGAGCTAGCTGCTCACTGAAAACTGCAGGAAGAAATGCCCGGAAGTTTTCCCACTTCTCCAATGTTTGCCCTCATTTCTCAGGCACCCTCACCAAAGCCCGTATGCCCTGCTGTTCAGCCCCGGGGTGAATGAAAGGGGGTGCCCATGTGATTTTAACCATGTTTCTCTGGTTATTCCTGAGGTTGAGCGCCTGCCTGTTCGCCTTCCTCTCGGCTCTGAAGTATCATCTTCTGCTAGAGTGAGGTTACTGCTTTCTGCAGGAGGGTTGATTTACAGGAATTCTCTCTCTTTTTTTATATACATGGATCTATATTTATTTGTGTAAAAATGCCCATAATCTGTCATGGCAAATGAGATTTCAAAGAAATCTATATGTAGAAAAACTCTGATCGTACACACTAACACTGTATTTTTTATTACTCCATGTATGTAGTTCATAATGTTTACAGTGCATAATGTTTACATTCCCTGTGTGGAGTTGGCACACACACACACACACATGTGCACCCACCTGCACATACACACATACACACATGTGTGTACACACATGCATGCACCCACCCCCACAATACACATACACACATGCATGTACATGCATGCATCCACACACACATACACACATCCACAATATACACATACATGCATGCACACACGTGCACACCCATCCCCAAAATATGCACACACCTACATATATGGACACATACACACATGCACACACATGCATGCACACACACATGCACACACACACAGATTGAGTCCCTTTTTCATACCCTCTTCTCCCCTCCCTCTATCCCTTGATCCTTTTCCCATTTAAGAAAGATCTGTCTCCGACTTCCTATTAACTAGCTTTCATTTTGCTCAGTTCTTTATCCCAGATCCAAGTCCTCTGTCACTGTGTCCGTCCTCCAGTGGCTTGTCTTTCCATTCCCTTGGGGTGTATTGCAAAAAGCAAATGTTTACCTCTGTGTTCAGTTTTCAGACTTCCTGTATGGTTTAGTAATTTTCTATCCTAAAGAAGAAATTTCTGAGGTTGTTTGATATCTTACAATTGGATCTAAAGCTATTGTTTTTACCTTGCACATGGGGGCTTATGATTCTCCTAATATTGACTATTTTTATGATGACAGTCAAGTTCCACTCCTTGTTTCCAGGAGAAGGTCCCTCAGGTCGTTCCGAGGAACTGAGGTCATCCTCCCCAGCACCCTGAACAGCCACCGGTGCCAGGGGTCAAAGGTCAGGATGCCTAGCTTTGTTTCTGGACTCCTTGCTCATTTCTGTAGGTAAACTGAGTCCACAGGCCACTGTATTAATTCCTGCAGTTTTCTAATGCACATGGGTATGAGGGAGGGAGAGTGGATGTTCCTTGTTTCTGCTCAAGGAAGTCTTGGTTTTCACGTAAATCTTAAATCCACCTTGCCAAGAATCACAAAATGGGAACGTGGTGGATCCTGCAGGGAAGGAGCCTGTAAATCAGCTAGGAAACTGATGTCTTGCCGATCCTGAGTCCTCTGACCCAGGAATGAAGGACAGACTTCCCATCTTGCTCTGGACCCCGAAGCTCCCACCTGACAGTTCTCTGCATGGAAGCCTGGCATGCATTTCATTAGATTTATTTAGTTATTTGCCTTTGGTGCCAAGTACTGCACAGTTTTTAAATCTCTTTTTTTTTTTTTGGTACTGGGGATCGAACTTGGGTCCTTGCGCTTGTGAGGCAGGTGGCAGAACCACTGAGCTAAATCCCCGGCCCCTCTAAATCTCATTTGTTAATTCTTCGTGGCTGGCTTTTAGAAGCAGAACTGGCTTTGCTAAATGTACTCATTTGCACAGTTTCTCTTGGGAGCCGCTTAGCTTCTCTACTGGTTCATTTCCACCTTCTGAAAATAACTCCGTGTCCACCTCTCTGGCCCCCTGAGGCCCCTCTCCTCCCCCGCTACCCCAGTGGCAGTCACAGCCTCCTTCCTCATTGTCCTCAACCTCGGAGGAGCTCCCCGATGTCTGTGTGCGTCAGTGCAGCTGTAACTTTAGCATCTGTGCCCAGCTTCACAGCCACTCTTCCTAGGATGTTGTCTTTCCTCCTAGGGAACCTGGTTATTGTCCATCCCAGTCTAAAGTTTGGCTGGAGAAAAATGCATCGCCGAAGTCATAAGAGCCCGGGAGGCTTCGTTCTCCTTCAGAGATTTCTGATGGTTTCCACCAGGAGCCTGAGGGCAGGAGCGACCCAGAAAGACCTGAGGGTTCTTTCCCCAGGACAGGACACACACTTAGCTACCAGGCAGCCTGCAGGCCCCTTTTCCTGGGGGGAAGCCCACTGACCCAAACCCAGACCCACACCTTTAACAGCTCAAGGCGCCGACCCTTGGCCTTTCTGCAGCTGAGGAGGACAGAGGGCCCCAGACACCTGAACTGACATTGCCAGAATCCAAACAAAATATTTTAGTATGGCACTGGGGAAAGCCTTTTTGCTGATGGAGGCCTGAGGTGGCACAGAACATCCTGGTGAGAGAAAGGGGTGAAGGTGTGTGTGTATGCCTGAGTGTGTGCCTGTGTGTGTGCATGCATGTGTGCTTCTTTCTGAGTGCATATGTGTGTGTGTGTTCTCTCCTCCTCTAAAGCCACCAGGGCTCCAGCATAGGGCTCCACTTGATGATCCTATCCTGGTCTCAGCCCCACCATCGGATCCGGCTTCCACCTCTCCACTCCACGGTGGGGGTTAAAGGTCAATACCCGAAGACTTGGGGACACACCAGACCCCTACCCAACGGCAGTGCTGACCTCCCCTCACGCCCTTGGCTCACATCTCACACACATCTCCGACACCAGCCTCTACTGGGGCCGCCTCCCCTGAAGTGACCCAGGGAGTGTGGTGAAGAGACAGCCCAGTCCCCCGGGGCTGAGGGCAAGGGGATGCAGGGACAGAGGGCTGCCACCACCCTGTCCCCACCAAGCCCTGGGTGAGACAACACAGGAGGTGGCCTGCAGGAGGCCAGACCCAGCCGGCCTGGTTTAGCAGCCCCTGGGGCCTCGGAGGTGCCCCTGTGACGAAGCTGCTGTCCCGCTGCCAGAAGCCCAGGCCTGGCACGAGCAGGTGGAAAGGCAAGGGCTGCCTGTGCCAAGTGCGGCTCTGTTCTTGCTACGCCGTGGCTTGGGGCCCAGCTCCTCCATGGGGGTCCATGTGGCTGGGAGCCCCCAGGTTGTGCACTGGCCCAGAGAAACCAGGCTGCCTCTCGGCCACCGACTCTGGCTACCACCCAACTCTGCTGGTGACCGTGCCTGCAAGTCTTCCGAGGCCCTCCCCCAGGTGCCCACAGTGGGCTCGGGCTGAGTGTCAGCCTCAGCGTGAGACCTGAATTTGCCCTCCGGGAACTTGACTTCAGGTGTCACCAGCAGCCCCCACACCCAGGATGGCCCGAGAGGCAGGAAGCATCCTCCACAGAGCCTTCCCCACCCCAGTGAGCGCCACAGGGGAGGAAGTGGGGCCGCAGGGCCACTGGGAGATGTCGGGGACACATGGGGACTGGGCTTTCCTTATGCCAAGAACAAGGGAGCCGTCTCTGGCAGACGGGTCTCTGGCCAGGTGTCCTGTTAGGGGAAGTGAGGGACGTGCACTGTGGAACGATTTCACACCTCCCCTTGAGCAATCAGACAGCCTGTCGGAAGTGGGTGTCCCCTAGGTAGTTGAGAAACTGGGCCCAAGGCCAGGCCTGGCTCCCTATGAGTGCTGGGAGCTTCAGTCAGGCCACAGAAAGGGCCTAGAGCTGGGTGGGGTCACCATGGCCCCAGGGCCCACAGTCCTGCTCCTTGTGTTCCTGTGCATCCAAGACCTGGATGTCCAGGCTGCTGACACCTGTCCAGGTGAGACAGACTCTCCCCTCTGATCCCAGGGCTGAGAGCTACCTGCCCTTGGCTGTTCGCCTTCTTTTCTTTCTCATCTTCTTTTTTTTCTCTTCCTCTTTTCTTTCTCTTCCTTCCTTCATCTTCTTTTACTCTTTCTCATTCCTTCTTTCTTTCTTCCTTCCTTCCTTCCTTTCTTCCTTTCTTGCTTTCTTCCTCTCTTTCCTTCCATCCTGGGCATCAAACCCAGGGCCTTTGTACTGATCTGCAGCCCCAGTCCCTTTTTACTTTGAGAGAGGGCCTTACTGAGCTGCCCGGGCAGGACTCGAACCTGCCATCCTCCCACCTTGCCTCCTAGAGGGCTGAGAGGGCAGTCCTGGTCACCACACGACACACGCATCTTTCTGCAAAGCCTGTCACGGTTCTACTTCATCCCCAGACAGGGAGACGGAGACGCAGAGGGCCTGAGCGACACACACAGGCAGAGGAGCAGGGCAGGCTTCTCCAGGGTCTGTCCGCCTCCAAGCCTGTGGCACCTGCCCCACCAGGCTTGGCAGACAGGGCCTGACTCCCTCACCTAGAATAGCGTCGACTTTTTTCTACCTGCTCGTGGGCTTTGGGGGAAGAACTCTAAGACTCCCCCATCTCCCCAGTGGCTGCCACACTTACCTGGGGCTTTTGGCAAAGCACAGGTGTGTTCCCCCCACCCCCAGATCCTGATTCCAGGATGTGGGGTGCAGAAGGGAAACATACCAAAGATGACCCTGCCCTGTCTCCCAGGGAGAGCACTGCTCAATCCCACAGATTCCTGTGGTCTCTGCCTTCTAATCAACAATGTTCTGCAAAGACTAACTGTGTTTGGGCCCAGGTGTGGGCTGCTCGCTCTGTTCCTTGGATCACGTGTCCCCTCCCCAGGGCCCCAGGTGACCCTTCCCAGCCCAGCAATCCTAGGTCCATCCCGGGGTCTGGCAGAGAGAACAGCACACTGACATCTCCCTGAGCCTCGGAAGCGATGACTGCTCTTTGCCGAGAGTGGCTCCTGCTTACAAAGCCCCTTCCTTTCCAGTCTGTGTTCTCCAATCTAATCTCCTACACCCGGCCCCTGTCCCCACTTGGAGCCGAGGAGACAGAAGCTCAGAGAGTTTAGGTGGCTGCCCGAGGGTGCTCAGCACTGAGGCTGGACCCTGGCACTGAGGAACTGGGTCCTCTAGGGCAGGCTGACCCCCAAGCCAGGGCTCAGCCCTGCACTTCCACCCCACTGGGGACCTGGTCCTCTCCAGGGCTCCTGAGGTGGCAGGGCCATGCAGGTAGGTGGCTGTTTGGGGCTCTACAAGGCCTCCGGCCCGGGCTGACCGCCTTGACGGGGCTGGGTGTGTTTCTCCGCAGAGGTGAAGGTGGTGGGCACGGAGGGGACCGACAAGCTTGCCATTCTCCGGGGCTGCCCTGGGCTGCCCGGACCCCCGGGGCCCAAGGGCGAGGCAGGAGCCAGAGGAGAGAAAGGTGGGTGTAGGCGGGGTGTGGAGTCAGCCACAGGGCAGGAGGGCTCTCACCCTTCGGCAATGGATGTCCAGCCGGGCACTGCCCCACTCTGGGTCCTGACCCCTGCTCAGGCCACCGACAGAGGAGGACTTGGAGGTCCAGGGCGTCTGAAGATGCCTTTGGAGGGAGCATCCCTATGTGACAGCACAGGGGCTTTGGGCACAGTTTCCTGCATCAGCCTCCCTGTCCTGACCCTGTGCCTGTGGCACCTGACCCTCCAGAAGGACAGCTGTGGTGGGTCCCGATCCCCTGTCCCTGGTGTGGCTGGATGTGTGTGGATGCCCTGCAGGGTGCTGCCGGAGTGAGCTCCTGGCACATGGAGGTGTTCATGGAGGGGCCCAGGGAGTATTTGGTGGAGACAGGAAGAACTTGGACACCCTGAGACTTACCTGGCCTGTGAGGTGCCTGGGCTCGTGGTCCCTGTGCACCTTCTCACCACAGTGGACCCACCAGCCTGGGATTCCTGTCCCTTGAGCCCTGCTGTCCCCATGGAGAGGGTGTCAGTCAGTACCCCACTTCCGGTGCACTAGTCTCCTGCCACTGCATATCGATGGCCTGCCCCAAACAGGAAGCGATGGCCCTGGGCACTGTGAGGGCACAGCGAGGCTGGTGGGTGTCCTTGCTGCCCTTCTGGGGGCTGGGGGCTGCCTCTCCTGGCCCTAGGCTCCGTCTGTCCAGGAGAGGAGGGCCTAGCTCTGGGCCCAGACACACCTAGCTGGGACAGAGGGCTGGGTGGTCCGTGATCCCCTCAGGGGCCAGCAGCACCAAGCTGTGTGGCCACGTGGTCAGAGCTAGCACAGAGGGCTGTGTGAGCACATCCCAGCCTCTACACAGCCAGGCTTTGGCCACACACAGAGCCACCTCCTCCTCTGGGGACCCGCTGAGGATGAGAGAGCTCTGAGAGTGTGCTCTTGGTCCCGAGACCCCACCCTAAGAAGACAGCCCAGCTCCGAGAGGACCTCATGGCCCTAAGCTTTTCATCAGCAGGGGTAGAGGGCAGGATCCAGGTTGCAGCCAGAGAGCAGAGCCAGTGGGGCGAGCTCCCTGCCTGAATCCGGGCTCCCCGTCAGCCACCAAGTGACTGGGGCTCCATCCCCCTCACTGCGGTCCCTGCCAGGCTCAGGCCCAGCCAGCAGCTCCGAGGGTGCTGGACCCACATCATCTGGAGTGTGGGAGTTTAAGGCACAGGGCAGATTTGGGGGCAAGGCTTCGGAGGGCTGCTTTTCTCAGGGAGTCCTGTCTGGAATTTGCAGGAGAACGAGGCCCCCCTGGACCCCCTGGCAAGGCAGGACCACCCGGGCCCAAAGGTAACCACAAAGCCGTGTGAGGAGGAGGCGCCAGCAGGACCCCAGGTGGGGAGGCGAGACTGAAAGGGCCCGCTGTGTCCCGGACTCAGTGTCCCCTCCCTGACGAAAGTCAGCAGGCATAACGATGAGCAGGTGGTGCAGGGAGGGACCTGGCTCAGCCCAGCAGCTGCTGCCTCCTTGACACCTCCCCTGGCAGCGCTGCTCTTGGTGGTGACCCCTCATGGGATGGGCCAGCCTCAACGGACTTGACCTTCTCACCATCAGCTTCCCATTCTCTCTCCAGGGGACCGAGGGGACAAAGGGGTCCGTGGGGAGAAAGGTGAGCTGTCCACCACAGCCCTGCAGCCCAGTGGGCTTTGTGCAGTGCCAGGTTCAGCCATGCCAGCGCCACCCTGGAGGAAGAGCCCCAAGTCCCTCTCTGGGCAACACTGGGGAGGGCAGCAGGGACCTGGGCACAGTTGGCCACCTGAGTCCCCAGTGGCTCCCACATGAGCATCTACCCGGGGTCTGCCCAAGGGACTGGTGAGATGGCATCGCTCGGAAATGGGGCCATTTGACTTGTTGGGATTCTTGTCTATTTTTAAAAACTGTAAAATCAGTATAAGTGCTAAGATACAGGCACGTGCTTTGTCTAGAGGAAAGCTCCAAATCAGGGCAGAAACTTGAGTCCCCGTGGTCTCCGGTGCAGACACGGGTGAAGTGGCCAGCCGAGACGGGTTTGAGTCGATCCCCTGCCTTGATGGGTACCTGAGGCCCAAATCAACAGCCTCCGAGCACTCACTGCCCGCCACGAGGAAGAGCCAGGCAGGGGCCAGGCACCCAGGGCAGCAGGCCTGGTGCCTGGCTAGGGCAGCGCTGGGTTCTCCCGTCCCCTCCTCCGTGTTCCTGGGGTACGTAGGCTGCGAAGGAGGAGGGCTGATGCCGATGTCTCTTCTCTCCCTGAGCAGGAGACGCTGGGTCTTCGCAGTCCTGCACTACAGGTGACCATGCCCCCACCCCATGACAGAGCCCCGCCCCCCACCCCAGCCAGCCAGGCAGACTCGGGACCCCGGGCCTGGGATAAACTCTGTCCACCAGTCCATTCGTCACTCTGGGACTCAGACACCTGGCGGCCACTGCCTGAGATGGTGCCTTCCACGGTGGCTTTTCAGGAAAAAATTACACTCCACCCACAGGCCCGGGCCCTGGGAGACCACCCTGGGCCCCCGAACCATGCAGCCGGCCCAGGGCCATGTTCCACCTCTTTTCCTGTCCCATTCCCAGGACCTCGGACCTGCAAGGAGCTCCTCAGCCTGGGCCACTTCCTGAGCGGCTGGCATACCATCTACCTGCCCGACTGCCGGCCCCTGACTGTGCTGTGTGACATGGAAACAGATGGCGGCGGGTGGACTGTGCGTGTCAGGCTGAGGACCTCATGAAAAGCGAGGGGCCAGGAATCCCAGAGACTGGGTTCAGTGGCTGGCAGGGAGCAGACTGAGATTCCCGTTCCCCTCTGCAGCCCAGAAAGACCCCTGTGTTGTAGAGGAGGGGACCCTGAGGGTGACAGACAGTCCAGGTCCCGGGTCACAGAGGAAGCCCACTGCTGTCTTGCTGTGTGGCTTCCGGCTGGCTGCCCACCCCCGTGGGGCCTCCATTTCCTCCTCCCTCAGGTGGGAGCTGTGCTGCCCTCATGGTGCGTGTGCACCCATCCAGGTGCCCAGTGAGCTCTCACGCCAGTCCCCACCCAGCGGGGCATCAGCCTGGCCTCCCACCCCTGAGTGCCCTTGCTGCCCTCCCCCAGGTCTTCCAGTGCAGGCTGGACGGCTCCGTGGACTTCTTTCGGGACTGGGCCGCCTACAAGCAGGGTTTCGGCAACCAGCAGGGAGAGTTCTGGCTGGGGAACGACAACATCCATGCCCTGACATCCCAGGGTAAGCAGCAGGGACAGGCATGGGGGCCGTGGGAGCCAAAGGCCCAGCATCAGAGCAGAAGGGCCCAGTGCCAGCCAGGGCCATTACTCTCAGCACATGTGGGGGCACCACTGTGACCCCCAGGGCGGGTGCCCCCTGCTATAGCCACCCCGGAACATCAGGATCAAAGAAGGTGAGGACAGGAGGTGAGGCCTGTCCAGCTGTGCAGGCCGCTGGCCTCTCAGGACCCGAGAAGCAGGTAGCAGGACCACCAGGGCTTGGGGACAGCTCCCCGGGGCGCCTCCAACCATCAGTGCATCAGAGACGCTTGGGCCCCTCCCAGCCTCCTTGCCTGGGGAGGCTTCGCAGGCAGCCAAGGCCTCAGGTAGGGAGTGATCAGCCCTTTTCGGTCCTCCATGGCCCGCAGCCTCCCCGCACCTCTTGATCTCATTCCCATTCGAGAAAGATCTATCTCCTCACTCCCTACTGTCTGTCTTTTTGTTTTGTTGTTCATTTAACTTTGGGTTTCTTCTATCAGAGAAACCATGTGATGCATCTAATTTACTTCATTTAACACTATGGTCTCAAGGTGCATCCATTTTCCTACAAATCATTCAAGTTCATCCTTCCTTATGGCAGAGCAGTACTCCATGGTGTGTAAACCTCACATTTCTTTATCCATTTGGCTGTTGATGGACTTAGAGGCTGCTTCCAAGATTTAGCCACTGTGAGTTGTGCTTCTCTGAACTTGGCTGTGCACGGGGCACTGCGATGGGATGTCCGTAACTCTTTCGAGAAGACACTTGCCAAAGCTTCTTACACTCTAGAGTAAAGTGAGCCTCATCCCAATGGGTGACGGCCAAGCTGGATCTTCAGCCAAGCTGAGGGACAGCAGGAAATCTGCTTAGACACAGGGAGCCCTGGGGCCTCGCTTCTACCCAGGACGTTCCCGCATCCTGCCAAGCTTCCACGGCTAAGACCCAGGGCTCTCCCGCAGGAAGCAGCGAGCTCCGCGTGGACTTGGTGGACTTCGAGGGCAACCACAGCTTTGCCAAGTACAGCTCCTTCAAGGTGGCGGACGAGGCAGAGAAGTACAAGCTGGCACTGGGTGCCTTTGTTGAGGGCAGTGCGGGTGAGTGTCCCAGCGGGAGACCTGGCCAGGGCTGCGGCTCTGAGCCCAGCACCTCTGAGTCTTTATGTTGCCCAGTCCTCGGGATGGGATCAGATAACCCCCAAGGCTGTGTCCTCCGCTGCACAGGGAGCAGAGCCTGAGAACCCGAGGGCTTCCTGGCCCCGAGGGGCCTTCTTGCCCAAAGGGACTCTGGCCACGTGGTTTAGGGGCCACCTCCTCCGGGGCATCCACTCACCAGAGCCTCTGGGGTCTGCTGGGCTGAGCCCGGAGCTGCATGGGGCAGCTGCTCCCTGGGAGCTTTCACGATGGTGCCTTGGAGTTCGGGCTTCTGTTTGACACTCCGGGACCCTCCAGGACCCTCAGGGAAGGAGGTGGGCAGAGAGCCTTGGTCCCATTGCAGGTAGAAAAGCCGAGGCTTGGGCGAAACCGCTCCCCCTCAGGAGACAGCGGTGGGCCTCGTGCTCATGGAGGCAGACCGGGAGCACCTCCAGGGCAGGCAGGGGCTGGAGAAGCCCAGGGGCACACAGATGCAGGATTCAGGATGGAGGGAGTAGGTGCCAGGGGTCCGACCCAGGGAACGATTCACCCTTCTTAAAGCCGACCAAGGCAGGAGGCCAGGCCCGGCGAGGCCTGGAGAGCCCAGATGCAGTCGCATCCAAAGATCCACCTTTTCCCTGAGCAGGAGACTCTCTGACGTCCCACAGCAGCATGTTCTTCTCCACCAAAGACCAGGACAACGACCAGAGTTCTGCCAGCTGTGCGGAGCAGTACTGCGGAGCCTGGTGGTATGGGGAATGTCACGTGTCCAACCTGAACGGCCTCTACCTCAGGGGTCCCCACGACAGCTATGCCAATGGCGTCAACTGGAGGTCGGGCAAGGGGTACAAATACAGCTACAAGGTGTCGGAGATGAAGCTGCGCCCCGCCTAGCTCCGAGCAGAGACCCCTCTACACCTGAGAAAGAGGCCACCGCACAAGGCAGCCACAGCAGAAGCCTGGGGGCTCGGTCCCCACTCAGAGGCTGCCCTGCCTCCCGCCGTGCCCTTTGCCCTGCAGCCCTATCCGCACTCCGTGCCACTGCCCGTCGCCCCACCTGTCCCCAGCCTCACCTGATGGGGAATTATGTTCCCCAAACACGTCTTCTCTCTGTCAGACAAGTGGCTCCCGTTTTAATTCTTATTTCTCGAACCCCTGCTTGGGGATTTGTCTCTTCATCTGCATTGTGGAGCGGGGTTCTCAGGAGCTTGGAAAGTCCCAGAGTTAGGGGCCCACTCGGCAGGCAGGGCACTGATGCCCACAGACATGAGCACATTTGCCCTGAACTTTCTGCCTCCACATTCAAGCTCCCCCCACTGATGAGAGGTGGGAGTCTGGGGATCCCTGTAGTTCATCACACATCTTTTAAAGGGTCACCAGGGCCCAGAAAACTCCTGGAAAGACAGGGAGGGAGCTGGGCAGAGCTTGGCTGCTTTCTGGCATGGAAGAGTCCACCCTTTGGGCAGCTGGCACCCCGTCCCCCCGGAAAAGCCCGTGCGAACGAACTCTGGGGAGCAGGTGTGGGCCAGCTGGGAAGGCACAGAGGCTCTGCTAGCTACCTCAGCCCAGGGCACTGCTGAGCAGGCCCCCGGCTAGGGAGAAGGTGTCCTTGCTCCAGACAGGGCAGGGCTGGGAGAGGAGAAGGAAACCCCAGGGGGGCCATCCCTCTGCCACACACACGCCCCTCTGCAGCTGACCGCACTCACTTAGTGGCTGAAACCACACACTTGTTACTGTAGTTCTGGAGGTCAGAAGTTCCAGAGGCCTTGCTGGGCTGAGGCCAAGGCGTCAGCAGGGCTGGCCCTGTCACCAGGCCCGGGGGGAGCCACCCCTCTCCTCCTCTGCTCCTAGGGACAGTCCACATCCTCCACCGGGGTCGCTGCATCTGGCTTCTGACATTCCATCTCTCTGGCTCACTTGTATTGCTACAGCTCCTCTGGCCACAGCTTGCAGGGCAGCCACTGCCAGGACTCCCAGGCTAAGACTGCAGTGGCCGGGGAGCCTCAGGGTCTGCAGCCCCCGTCACCTCTCAAAGTTTGCCCTGGAAGCTTCCCAGGTTCTAGCCACGAGGGCGGGGCACATTACTCTCCACCACGACCTCTTTAAAATAGAAAGCACAAGCTCCAACCTGAACGAATTCTTGTAAATAATAATAAATATGCAGGGTAGGGAAGGACAGGAAGATAATGGGAGGGAAATGGTCAAAACACGGAATATGCACGTACAGATAGGCCAAAACCAAACCACTCTTCTGCCACCTGGTATGCACTAATAAATACTCAGCATAGGGATATATCAATATCAGCTCAGTAAAAAAGCTAGGTGCTAAGGGCTTGGGGTGCAGCTCAATGGTAAAGGGCTTGCCTACCATTCCATCTCACATACTGCAAAAAAAAAAACGGGTATGTGGTTTGGACAGATGCTTCACAAAAGATGGTGTCTAATATATTTATTAAAAGGTCCAGTATGCTTATATTTATAAGAAGGTGCCAATATATTTATACAAAGGACCAGTATTTAATTTTAAAAGGTTCTCCATTGGATTACTTACAGAGAAATGCGAATTACAGTCGAAATGAGGTGCTGCTGCCCCCCGCCAGAAGCCTCCACGACAAGGACTGAGAAGAAGACCACACGGGGCCGGGGGCACAACTCTGCAATGCCAACGCAGATGGACAGTGATTCGGCCACAGCCGGGCCAGCTGTGTAGACCATGCAGAGCGAAAGAGTCACATCTCACACCCAGCCCTGAGTGGGCATGGGGGGCACGATCAGGAATGTCACAGCCAGGCTATGCACAAGAGCCCCAAAGCAAATCAAGCCATAAGCCCATCAGGGAGGGGATGGATGGAGACTCCAAGGACACCCATTCCAGAGAAATCTCCAGAGCAATGAAGATGGAAGGTCAACACCACACACCCTAAGCCTCGCACAAGTGATTCCACAACCAATGAGCATTTCAAAAGCAAAATAACCTATAGTATTTTGGATGCATACCTATGTGGTAATGCTACCGGGCTTCGGGGTTCTGGAATCTCCTTCTAGAGGTGTTCTAGGTTCTTCCTGTCCTGGACAAAGACTTGTTCAAGACAAGCACACAAGGTAGAGAGGTATTCCATTTATTATAGGTGTGAAAAGAAAAGAAACATGCTCTGTAGAGCGAGTCCAAGCCAACTACTAGTAGGAAAAGAAGTTTACTCTACAGGGTGTGAGTGGACCACTGTGAGACAAAGTACAGTGGCCGCAAGGAAAACAGCAGCTGTCTTTTGTGTCTTCCACTCCTCAGGCTGACGTCAGGTCTATGCCATCCTATTAAAAGCCCACTTGGCTTCTTGCAAGAAGAATTGAAGGTAGTGCTCTGATTGGTTCCACATGCAGGGCTTTGGGAACTGCTCTGCTCACGTGTCCTGGGACTTTGTAATTGACAGGTCACACCCACTTCCCCAGCCAGTTTGCCATGCTCTAATCTCCCGACTCACTAAATACATATCAGGAAAATAAGAAGAAGGGAGACATAGGGTGGTGACAGGACATTGGTCCCAGCAATGCCCTGACTCTTGACTGGGTGATGATTAGAAGCATGTTTGCTGGAAAGTGATAAAAATATTTAAATCATACTTTGCACTTTATACACTTAGGTGTCCATTTGTGCTCCACTATTTTTAAAGAAATGGGCATGGTTGGCCTGGGGATGTGAGCAGCATGCACATTTCCTGGGTTCTGGTGTCCTTGTTGACCAGATTCTGTTTTGTCCTGGCTATAAGCTCTGTAAATGATTACAATAATCAGAACCATAGAATTACAGCTTTTACATTAAGAAATATGGACAGGCTTGATATTTCATAGTCTTATAATGTTTGAAGAATTTGGCCTATTACAAAGAAAATCACATAAATCAAATCTAAAATGAATAATTAAGTAACTGACTTAGTCTTCTAATGCTGCACGGAAATCTTAGAGCATTTATGCACAGTATTGGAATACGTAAGAGACTTTGGGTTCGTTGCATTTTAAGGTTGAATTGTTAGACTTCTGAAAATTAATAAGTACTGAAAAGGCGTTGTTCAATAGACAACCAAAATACCTGGGAAAGAATTTGAAAGCATTACACTTATTGCTAGAGTGTAAAATGTTTGATGGGATTTTTTTTTTTGGTATCAGGGATTGAACTTGGGACCTTGCACTTTCGAGGCAGGCAGCGGAACCACTGAGCTAAATCCCCAACCCTGTTTGATGGTATTTAATGAGCTAAACTTGTAGTACTCAAAAGTCCTGAAAAGATGACTATTAAAATTTGCAAGTTTCATAAAAATAGAAAGACAAGATTTGTCAGCCAAACTAAAAAGACGAGGGGGTGTGAGACCTAAGTGACTCCATTCTAAAATTTGGTGGCATAAATTTCAGTTCTAAGAAAAACCACAAGATGTATTTTGACCACCTGCATGTGATAGTGTTCAGCCGTCCCCTAGCAACAGCTAATCAGTAGTTAGCAACTGTTTGCAGCTTGGGTGCGCAAGGCACAATCAATCAGGTTTAATTGCCAATCTAGAACCTTGCTGTAACCACTATAAAAACCCCTGCTGATTTGGAGTCGGGGCTCTCAATCTTGACCTGCTGTGGCGGTGACAGTTGGGAGTCCCTGCTCGAGCTTGAGTAAACAACCCTCGTGTGTTTACATCGGAATCGGCTCCTTGGTGGTCTTTGGGGACCTCAAAATCTGGGCACAACAGGGGGGAGTTTAGTGCTTGGATTTGTAGCTTTCAGAGACTGAACATTAATTTGAAGCAGCCATCATCAAATGCTGACAGGTTCCTCTCAGAACTCACTTTACAAATCTCAGAAACTGTCACAGCTGCTTTGAGGGTGGATAAAGTGTGTGCTAAGGCAGCGTCCTTCTTGGTGCCAGTCAATGCTATCCTCCCTCAGGTTCTCCCTGACATCAGGAGTGCAGTCATAGGTCCATCCAGCATAGTTCTGGCACAGGGGACCCACACACAGCATTATTTCTGTCCCCATTTCTCTCCTTTCTGGTCTTTTTTCGTATGGGTTGATATTTTTATTAACCCATCTTCCCCCCATTAGTTTACAATTTGTCTATTCTCTTCCTGTTCTACAGGGCTTATGATTGTGTTTGCAACACCCATGTACACTTGACTTGGTGCACTTTAATATAAATTATTCTTTTTACCACCTTTCCAGTGAAGACCTTCAACACCTGTAACTACATTTAACACTCTCTTTCCTCCCTGTCACTGCTGTCATATTCACTTAAAGCCCTGCATGCTGTACCTGTTATTAGACTTCAGCAGTCAATATTCATCATTATCCACATTTTTACCCTTTATATTGGTCTTTATTCTTCTTCCATTTCCATTTCAGTAGGGACCATATTCTTTTTTGGGGTTCTGGGGATCGAACTCAGGGCCTTGTGCTTGCAAGGCAGGTGTGATGCCACTGAGCTAAATCCCCGGCCCTGGCACCATATTCTTAGTATCTGACAACCTCTCTTTCATATAGCTATTTTTTAGTGCAGGTTTGCTGTGACAAATTTTGTCTGTTTTTGTCATCTGAAAATGTCTTTACTTCACCTCATTTTACATAGTATTTTCTTTTGGTGTAGACTTCCTCATAGGCAGTTGTTTTTACTTTTATTTTATTTATTTATTTATTTTTATACTCTGGGGGATGGAACCCAGGGCTTCAGGTATAATGGATAAGTAACCTACCACTGAGATATATACTCAGCCATAGCACTTTACTATGTATGTCCACTATTTCTAGATTTAATTGTTTTCACTAGAAAGCTAGCTGAAAGGCTTGCTGCGCCTCTAAATGTAATATGAATTTTTTCCACTCTGAAGAAGTTTTATTTCTTTATTTATTTTTTATTTCTTTGTTGCATTTTTTTAATTCTAAAATTTTCCTTTGTTACCATATTTTAGCTCCAAGGACTTTGCTAAAAATGTTCCCATTTGTTTCAAGAGTGTTTGGCCTTACTTCTTGAAGCATGGTTATAGTAGTTGCCTTAAAGTCTAATACTTCTAATACACAGGTCTTGTCAGGATTGGTAGATGCCTATTGCCTTTCTCTTCAGAATTGCTTATGTTTTCT